GACTTGGATTTGGAGGTACCTCCGAAATGAATCGAATATTACTTTTTAACTCAGTTTTCAATACTAAATAAGAAAAAAATAATTTTAACGTTCCGGTCAAAAATCCAAGTCGAAAAATCTAGGAAAAGGTAAATGTCTAGTTTTTTCGTGAATAAGTTTCAATGTTGAAGCTCGCCAGCAAAGTCTTGAATCTTTTGGATAAAATTTTTCTATCGCGCTTAGTAGAGTAATGAAGAACAGTGAAAATGAGATAGAAACAAAAAATGTATAATTTTTCTTTGAGGAGATCTTCTTATTTTCATCTTTTTCATCTATGTCACATGCATGTAGTCGGTCAAAGTGTGCTCTCTACTTTTTGACTGCGTGGTAATTGACTATTTGTTTATATATCGCAAGAAAGGAGACCATGCAGGCTTTCCAAAAATATATGAAATTTGACTCAAATCCTTTTCCGACACTCACAGTACTCCGTTTTTGAACACCCATATTCACTTCGAAGAGTCAAAAGTTTGAAGAGAAGGAAATACATTTTTAAGAGAATGAGATGTGCAAACTGTTTAGTGCATTCGAAACTATACGTGTGCATGCTTTTTGACTGAAAAAAAAGTAGATAAAAACCAAACAACCCGTTTTCCTTTCTTATCTATACCCGTTCTTTCGATAGCTGTAATAAATATTTGAATATGTCTTAGAAAGCCAAGTTTTCTTTTGCACTTAATGAAATCAAAAGTTCTGGTCTGAAATGGAAGAATTTTTCTAGCTAATTGATCGTTTTCAATCATTCGCTAAATTGAGTTCATGTTATAAATCGTATTAAGTTTACTGTTCTTCAGTTTTAAAATCAAAACATAAAAGTAGAAGTTTTGAGAACGCATTGACAATATATAAAAAAACAAAAAAAAAAAAAAGAAACCGGAAAAGTAAATAGGTAAGTTTGGAAACACATTGATCAGGTCAAAAAGTAGAATGAAAGAAAGAAAGACAACAAAATTGTAAGACACCATCAGTTGTGTATACGTTGGTCGTTTGTTCACATTTTTTTTTTTGAAGAGTTGTTTTACAAATGGAAAACAAAAATTAATTCTATAGATTTATATGACAATAATTTTCTAGACCACTGAATATTAAATAAAATATCCATAATAATAAAAATAATAGACTACTTATGACACGATATTTAAATGGTCCACCTAGTTCTCCGCCACCAAAACATTTTAAACGTCTTAACATTAGTAATACAACAGCTACTGCAGCAAATGAACAATATAATGTTACACTAAATGATAATGAACCTTTTTCGACGACAAATTTTGTATTTTTAAAATAATGATACCATGCAGACATTGCCCATGGTAATCCAATGCCAAGAAAAACATTGACTGCATTTGAACCATTTACATTACCAATTGAACTATCTGCATATTTATCGTGTTCTGCTGCGACTTTACTAGCAAATGTATCTGAAAAAAGAAGAAGAAAAGAAAACAAATGTTATTGATCATTTTAATAATAACTAATAGATTTGTGTCTTTTCAAAAGAAAATTTGATCCAGTTGAATGAAATTGTATACTATACTGTAAAAAATATTCCATAAATATGTTAATGGTAATTCATAAACCTATTTCTATGGTTAAATGTCCTAATAAATTACCTGGCAGACTTGTTCCCAATGCTACAAAAGCAATGGCTGTCATTGTATCTGTAAGACCTACGGTACATCCAAACTAAAATAATAAGTGAAGTATTATGAACGATCATGATACATCGATATCCGATAAAAGATACTCTTAGATAAAAGTATCATTTCATTTTTGAGTATCAAAATATCACTTCACCTGTGTTGCTAAATCACCGATAAATGCTGTTAATACGCCAATAATTATTATCGACACAAAAAAACATGCCCAGCCACCAGCCAGACCTTCGAAAAAAAAAAACGATTTAAAATTGTTTCATATAAAAATATTAAATTCTTACTTGTCGGTGGAACAAAGGCAAATAAAAATTTCCAAAAAAATGAAATAAAATGAAGCATATAATCTTTACAAGTTGCTGGTTCCTTCCCATCATCATCATCTGCATCGTCATCATCGTCTTCTAAATAAAGAATATGGTTTATAATAAGTTTTCTTTTTCTTATAATACAACGGCACCTTTAACACAAAATGCTTGTTTAAATTGTTCAATCCAAGTTGAAGTTCCCACAAGAATTGCCGTATTTGCTCTATACAACGCTTTATCAACAGCATTCTAAAATTACAATGATTTTTCAAATTTTTATCTCTAATTTTATCTACTATTATTCTTCTACCTTAAATTCTTTACTCTCACGTATTCGTACGCGTAATAAATTTTTATCACCTAATTTTGGACGTCCAAGCTCAGCAATTCGTTTTTCCTCTTCGGTCAGAGCTGAAGTATACAAAACAATAACAATCATTATTTTAAAATTAAAAAAATCAAAAAAAAAATCTATCGTTAAAAACAACAACAACATACGTGTAATGCGTTCTTCTTCTTCGACCAAAACCGGTTCACCAAGATGAACTAAAAATGTTTCATTTCGTTCATATTGATCAAGATCAATAATTGGAACTTCAATCGTTTTTCTAAAAGAAAAAAGAAATGAAAATATAACAATAGCAAAGTTTAAACAAATAAATAATAGAAAATGTTCTAATTCTAATTCAAAATATTTAATAATATTAATAATATTTAAATTTTAGTTTAATCTATAGATTATTGATTATAAAAGAAGAACTATTTTAATTAATATAATAGTAAAGATATTAATGTTGATTTACAGTATTTTCAATTTCATGACGTTTTTGTCCTATATATTTCTGATGATATACAAAATTGTTCTACATCAATGAAATCTCCTACCTTTGTTATATATTTCTATCAGTAGACTGTATCGTCAGATATACTTTTTTTGTTTGTTTTTTTTTTTTTATCATAATCGTATAAAAAAACAAAACTGGGAGTATATCTATTACAGTTGGATGTGTTAATGCAACATTTGCAAATATTTCTTCTGTCATCTACTCATGACAATTAAATGAGTAGTCAAATGACAGAACGATTTTAATTATGTGATGAAATTTGTCATAACGACTTTTTTTTTTCAAAAATATATCGTTTTCTAGAGAAAATAATTATATATATATATTTTTGTGACATATATTCGATCATCAAATAAACGATTATGTACGATGATGTGTATACATCATCATTTATAGAAAGACAAAAACAAAAATAATTTTTTTGTATTAATATACAAATGTCAAAAATTATCATTATTAAAATAAATAGACCGAACGAGAGATTCGAGAAGATTTTTCTTATCTTGATGTGATGATGAAATGTTGATTTTACAAATTTGATCAGGTTATTTTTAGAAAATTCTACATCTTAAGCATTCACCTAACTATTTGATCATTCAATGAAATTCAGCAAAGTACTACGATAACTAATGAATCTTTGTTTAAATGAAAAAAAAATAAAAAAAAACAACAACAACAACACTGAGTCCTTGATATTCTGAGAAGAGAATGTAGTGAAGTTTGCTTTTTTTTTGTGTAAAAATCCTCGTTATATGCGTTCGAACTCTCTACTACATTTAAAATACTTTAAAAATTAATGCAATTAGTTCTGCTATTTCAAACTAATTTTTTCTGATTGACATAAAAAAAGTAGTTATGGAATATTTTTTTCTCACTTCGTTTTCTTTTTGTTCATGTACTACAACAAAAAAAAAAAAAAAAGAAAGAAAAAAATGTTGATTACATTTGATCAAATGATCAAAAAAATAAAGAAGAAAATAGAGATAGTCTATATTTTTATTTATTCGTTCATTTATTGACACTGACTATGTGACAGAACAATCGGAAAAAATAGTCTTGACAAGAATGGAAATTATTTTATTTTTTTTCTTCATATATAAGAAGAAAAAAGAACGAATAACGAACGAAAGAACGAGAGACTATAAATACACTATATAGCAGGTAGATGTGGATAGTAATGATTTCTATTACTTGAAAAATTTTTACACTCTTTTCTAACTTAATAATAAATGGATATTTGACTATTATTATATCTAGAGAGATAAAATAATTTTGAAGTGTAAAATAGAAGAACAACACCAAATCAAATAGGAAGAAAATCAATCAGTCAATCAATCAATCAGGCAATCAATAGACGACAGAAGAGGTTTCCGTAAAATTATTTCTAAAAGAACTTTTATACTTTTGATGTTAGAAAGAAAGGAAACACCTACAGTACTATTTAAATAGGAAAATTAAAAAAAAAAAAAAAACCTTTTTCGCTCGTTATCTATCATTTAATAGTTAAATTTTTTATTTTTTTTATTTAGTCTCGGAAGCTAACCCAAAAGCAATGAATATTAGTCTTAGAAGAAGAAAAAATAGTTCTTTAAAATTTGTCATTTTATCCTATCTGATATATTTAAAAAAGGACTCGATATATCGTGATATCTAAGAAACTAAAAAATATCTGAAATTTAAGATTTTATTAAATAAGATAAATTCACTGTATACGATCATGTTGAACGTGTCAAATATTTCCAATGATGTTAATCAAACATGACCTTCTAATATATAATTAGTTAACAGAGAATAAAAACTGTATAAGTCTTAACAGTAGACATAGTTAAAAGATTTGTTGTTTTTTTTAAACCGCCTATTGTTGATTACAAATGACCTTTTATAAAATAGGTTTCCACATTATACTAGCGATTTTCTAGTATGAAAAAAGAAACTTACACAAAGACAGATAGAGATCATGTTTACTGATTAATAAGTACCAATCATCTATATATGTAGATTGAGGCGTTAATAGAAAAAAAACAGAGAAAGAAAATAATAATAATAAGTTGTTTCTTATTATTGATCGTCACATATTATTATTATTATTATTATTATTATTTTTTTTTTGAAGCTAGAGGAAAAAAATGATTTTATTACCATATGCGAAAAACAAACCTCATTTCGAATACAATACAATCTATTGCGCACCATTAGAAAGATGAAGATTACCAATGCACAATATGAAAAGACATTTCAATAATCCCGTGAAAAATATGGCATTTAATATTCACATAACGTTTAAATGATAAATTTGTCCGTAGGATTATCGAGTATAACTAAAACAAGCTGATAATTATGATATAGTTCATCGATACGAATCATATTACTTATTCAATTCTAATATATGAATTAGTAAAATTTTAAACAACGTTCGTTATTATTACTTACTCATTTTCATTATTTTCAAATATAATATCACCGTTCGTTGCTTGATAATCTTTGCCACTTTTTGCTGTTTCATCTTCGGTTGAATAGGGTATACGAACTCGTCCTCTTGCACCAGACGTACGTAAAACTTTAATAACAACTACGCCATCCGATTCGATAATAGTTTTTTCATCCGTTTCAAAAACAAACATGCCCGAATGATCATCATCAATAATCATGACAATGGCTGATGTAGGTTCCAATAATAAAACAGTTTTATCATAAGCACCAGGTGTCAATTGTCCTTGACTATCTTTAACTCGTATATTACTTAATTTAACAGCAAAATGTTCATCTTAAAATTAAAAGAAAAGAAAATATTTATTATTAATTTAGAAAAAAAAGATAAACAATAGTACATTATCTACTCACCTTCTTCAAATATTTCATCATCAATTATTTTCACTTGAATTTGTTTACGATTTTCTGTAGGATAAAATATAAGTGTACCTTCAGTTGCTTCATAATCTTGTCCTTGTGTTGCTGTACCATCTTCTGTTGAAAAATCAACATATATCGAATTACGCATATTTCCACCTTCTCTTATAACGTTTAAAGTAACATAACCCGCATTTTCTAACACTGTATAATGACTAGGTTCAAAATGAATTTTAGTTATGTTGGCTGAAGATGTAGCATCTTTTGCTTGAGTTTTATCTAATTCAATTCGATCAGGTTCATTTAATTTTTCTAATAATTTCCGTTTGACGTTTCCGCCACCACCCAATCGTTTTGTGGCTTGAATACGGTAATAGGCTATAAAAAAAGAAATTTCATACAATCATTTAAAATCTGTCTTACATTCGTCACAGTTATAGATGATGAATAAATCTTTTTAATAGTTTTTTATTATACTGGTATAAAAGTAAATAACAATTCTACCTCTCGATTTTGGTACACGATTCATCATTTCAACGGCTGCCATTTCATTTAATACTTTCACATCATAATCTGGATGTAATTTTCTTAAATCTCTCCATATATCAATAAATTCTTGTCGTCGTTGTTGTTCGACTTGTTCATACAATGGGGTATCTGATGTCGATTCACCAATTTGATTTAATAATGCACCTGATAAACTTTTACTAATAGCTATTGAACTTTTTTTGTCATATGCCAATGAATCTGTATCATTTTGTCTATAATTATTCGTTGTAGATCCTAGATTATCTCTTAGTACATCACCATCAACCTTTTCATCGTGTTCTGAGATAATTTTTCCATCTTCATCTAATTTTATTTTTCTTTGGGACGTTATACGAACACGTAAGTAATTACCCACTTTTGTATCAACAATATACGCTGAAAGTACAGTTAATGGAAAAAATAAAAATGTTAATGTACCCTCGACAATATCGATTAAACCGGGCGAAATTTTGGCAACAATAGCCCATAACCAAATATATGCAAATATACTCCATGCTGTGGTTACGAAAAATACACGTAAATGACGAATACGACGTACTTCACCGCGAGGTATCGATAAAATACAAATAGCAATAATAACAAACAGATTAAATGCGGCACTACCAACAATCGTACCAGGACCTAGATCGCCTAAAAAAAAAAAATAAATAATTTTTTTAATAAATACTATAAACGATAGAATGAAACTCATTTTACCTACCACTTTCAAAATTTTTGCCCACTACTTCAATAATTGACAATAATATTTCAGGTGCTGATGAGCCAAGAGCCATTAGAGTTAAATTTGATACCGTTTCATTCCAAATACTAACAGTAGTAACTGAAAATGATCCATCCGGATTTTTCTTTCGTATTTCACGTTTCTGCGATGTAATAACTTCAATAGCTGCCATAAAACGATCTGATATAATAGCAACACCAATAAATAAATATATTAAGGCGAATAAATAGACTATTGCACGAGATATTCGATCACCGGTTGATATACCTTTAATTCAAAAACTAATTTCAACTTCTTGATTTATAAAAGTTTTTAATATTAAAAAAAAAAAAAAAAAAAAAAAAGAACATATTTGGGGGGCCAATAATGTTATGATAAAGCAATGTTTTTAACAACAATTTGTTTGAATTTTTGTAAATTTGTGATGTGAAAATTGGCCC